TATGCTTAAGTGAATTTTTCATCAGTCATAGTGATGAAATTGGTGAGATGAACTTTAACTGTCTAACAGTACGTTCCACTACATACTTAGTAAGCGTAATTTACTGAGTAAATTGCATTTGCCATATAAAGAGTTTCCGGGCTTTTTTTTTTACTATAGAATATAGTAAACAAAATTCGACCAAAATTATTACCAAATATGACGAATGCAACATTGGAAATTCTGGCAGATTAATCCTCACCGTTACTGTCAGCGTCGTTAACATTATAGTCAACATTTTTGAACTCAAAAAAAACACACCTACAAAGAAAAGAAAAATCAATGATAATCGACTATATTTTTTTATTTTTATTTTTAATATATTATAAAGTATTAAAATTATAAATGTAATATAAATTTTATAATTATATAAAATCTAATTATATGAAAAATATATAAGTACACATTTTATGTTGTTTTTATTTTTAATTATAAGTTATAAGTGTTATTAGTAACTATTGGTTAAAATAAAACTTACTGAAAATTTGTTTCAAACACCGCCTTATTTCTTTTCTATTTGGATTGTGGTTGTTTAGTGTTTAAACTTACTTTGAAGCCCTCTGTTGTCTTCTCAGAACCGACATACTGATTTCATTTTTATCTAAAATAGCAACTCAGTAGAATTGTATTCGTTATTTAATAATATTTACTGCCCGCATTTACCAGAAGTCCAGCACTTTCTTTGGTTTCTAGTTATCATTGAAGATGTTTTGATTTTGAATAATTTGTAATTTTTTGTTTTCTTTGTATATGCAGCAACTGCTGATTTTATATTATGAAAAATATTACAAACATTACAAACATTATATATTAAATTATTTAAATTTTTTGTCTTTTCTTCAATGCTAATTTATTTCCTTCTAACACTACAGGATTTAATATCATCTGTTTACAATTAAAATGTAAACACAGAAAAGCTCTAAAACTAGAACTTTTTGACACATAAAAGCTCTTTCCCATTCCTTAAGTAACTCATGATAATGTAAACGCAAAAAGCTCTATGTTACTATATGACTTACTAAGTGCGTAGTGGAAACGTAGTATAAGTAGCATGTTTAAAATCATATAGAGAATTAGCGTATCATCATGATAATTAAATCCTGCCCTATTAATATAGACAAACAAATTTTATTCATCACTCATCATTATTTTTTTCAAAAGTAAACAAAATTAGCTATCCAATAGGTAATAGTGTCTTATTACACCTCTAGCGCAGTTTAAAGATTTTTAATCCTCCTGCGTTTAAGTTGTTGCCACTGAGTGCACCTTAATGCATGAGTTTGGTCGAATGAGTACAATAAAAAGGAGACCCGGTTGGGATCATTTTTGTTACTTCTTCTTCTTGAAAGCCTATTTACTTTTTTTTTTTAATTTTAACATGCTGCTTATAAAGTTATTTTGTATCTATCAATATTCCAATATATTGCACTTTTTGAGCATAGTAGGGGTATTCACTCTCTCTTGCAAACTCATTGCAAGGTGCACGAAATGCACAGATTGTACGAGAATGCAAATAACAACAACAAAATACACGCACAAAATTTCGTGCAATTGCGTGCAATCTTCCAATGCTGAAACCTATGTATATTTGCTTGCAACAAACCAGAAATGGCGGAAATCAGCTGTTTTGTCATTTGTTGCTTCTCATTTTTAAATTTGAATTGACTGTTAGTAAAATTTCGAGATATGTTAATCTATGGCTATGCTATATACATGCGTTTCGTTCATATACATATACATTTGTGAATTAATTTATCTATTTATCAATTTCAGCGAAACTTACGAAAATTTGTTCACATTTTGAACTATTGAATGAAGTGTTTGGACGCATGTCTAATTTTGTACGGGAACATTGCCATAGGCACCAACTAGTTCTGCGCTAGGCAACGATGTTTTTTTTATTGAATCGTCTGCAGACAACACATCATCCAGCTCTGCACCGAAAGTCGTGCGTTCTGCTGTGCAAAACCCCACTACCCCCCTCGATAAAAAATATAACAAATAACAATAATAAATTAAGAATTAGTTATATTTTTATTATACTAATTATTTTTATATTATATTATTATTACATATATCTCCAACAACAAATAATGTAGCGACTTTACGAATAGCCGCATTTTCGCCTGATGAACCCAAACGATATAAAACAATAGCAATCCTTAATAGTTTATTAGTGAGACTATTAAGGAAAATACGTTCCAATTTACTCTAAGCATCTGACAAAAACGGCCTTCATCAAATTCTTGAAGAATGGTAGATCTCCATTGAATAGATTTTGGTACGGGTTGGTGATTTCTGTGATGGTTTACTAAAGTAAACAAAAGGTCTTCATTTAATTGCTCCATCACTTCCCAGTAATTTGCATCATCTAACAAATAGAAACTATATAGTAGTGAAAACTACATTAACAACATGTTAATACCTTCAATCAGAATATTAAAAGCACTATTTTCAATTAAAAAATCTATACATTTTTGTATTTCACTTGTTCGCGGCATTGTTATACTATTATTTTTCTTTGCTCAATGTGAATCGACTGCAAAAACAGCTGATTCATTTTGATGATACAATTCTGCAACAGAGGTGTTCTCGCAGTCTTGCAGTTTTTGCATAGCATTCTTGCATTTCGTGCTCCCTGCAATGAGTTTACAAGAGAGAGTGAATACCCCTTATGTATATTTGCTTGCAACAAACCAGAAATGGCGGAAATCAGCTGTTTTGTCATTTGTTGCTTCTCATTTTTAAATTTGAATGACTGTTAGTAAAATTTCGAGATATGTTAATCTATGGCTATGCTATATACATGCGTTTCGTTCAATAATTTAAATCGATGTGACCATTAATTAAGTTTTCACAAATATAATATTATATAAATATACATTTGTGAATTAATTTATCTATTTATCAATTTCAGCAAAACTTACGAAAATTTGTTCACATTTTGAACTATTGAATGAAGTGTTTGGACGCATGTCTAATTTTGTACGGAAACATTGCCATAGCCACCAACTAGTTCTGCGCTAGGCAACGAAGTTTTTTTTATTGAATCGTCTGCAGACAACACATCATCCAGCTCTGCACCGAAAGTCGTGCGTTCTGCTGTGCAAAGCCCCACTACGCCCCTCGATAAAAAATATAACAAATAACGATAATAAATTAAGAATTAGTTATATTTTTATTATAACAATTATTTTTATATTATATTATTATTACATATATCTCCAACAACAAATAATGTAGCGACTTTACGAATAGCCGCATTTTCGCTTGATGAACCCAAACGATATAAAACAATAGCAATCCTTAATAGTTTATTAGTGAGACTATTAAGGAAAATACGTTCCAATTTACTCTAAGCATCTGACAAAAACGGCCTTCATCAAATTCTTGAAGAATGGTAGATCTCCATTGAATAGATTTTGGTACGGGTTGGTGATTTCTGTGATGGTTTACAAACAAAAGGTCTTCATTTAATTGCTCCATCACTTCCCAGTAATTTGCATCATCTAACAAATAGAAACTATATAGTAGTGAAAACTACATTAACAACATGTTAATACCTTCAATCAGAATATTAAAAGCACTATTTTCAATAAAAAAATCTATACATTTTTGTATTTCACTTGTTCGCGGCATTGTTATACTTTTATTTTTCTTTGCTCAATTTGACACGGCTGCAAAAACAGCTGATTCATTTTGATGATGCAATTCTGCAACAGAGGTGTTCTCGCAGTCTTGCAGTTTTTGTATAGCATTCTTGCATTTCGTGCTCCTTGCAATGAGTTTACAAGAGAGAGTGAATACCCCTATAGTATAACAACAATAAGTCCTTGCACAGAGTCTACTCTTTTTCACTACTTTTTAACTAGCAATAACAAACTCTCTTCTTTCCCTCACTTGTACTCATTTTGTCTTGGATATATTTGTTGTTTAAATGTGAAAAGTTCTGCTTTTTAATTTCTTCTTCACCATTGATTACTGGAATAGAGTGCACGTAAATTTGAATATTTTGATTGTTAGCGATTTATAATATAGGCTGCGTTGCTTACTGCCATTTTTTTTCCAAACGTACTGAAATTGAAGTAATTTGCTCTTAAAAAACGCAAATTCTGAAATTTATTACTAAACAACACTGATTTGCCTTAGTGTCGAGGCATAAATACACCGGCTCTCATACTGGAATTTGAATCGATATATTATTTTTTCTCTCAATCTCAATTCTATAATTTACATTGAAAACAAAAATAATTTTCCTTGAAGATGACTATCGAAGATAGTCGAAATATCGGAAGAATTATTTTTAATAAAGTATAAATGAATTTTAAATATAAATAATAAATTAGTGTCTTTTTTATTTCTATTTAAATTTGACCAATTAGCCTGATAACAAATTATTATAACAATAATTTTTGGTCACAAATAAAAGTATTTAATATTTTTAAAAATAATTTTAAGTTAAGAATATCCATAGTCGTTGTTACCAATATTAACATATATATTAAAAATCAAAATAAAACTTTTTATTTTATTTAGATAAATTAAAATTAAAATTAATTAACTAAATTAAATAATTTATTATTTTATTCAATTATTAGAAATAAATTTAATTTCTTCTCAATATTAGTTTATAATTTTTTAACGTTTCCTCAATTATGCTTAAGCAATTATACAGTATACAGAAAACTGTTTTCCTTAATTTCCGATAAGTACAAAAACCCTAGAGCTGGTAACTCTAAGCCGGCAAATGATGTAAAATGTCAAACAGTTACCAAAACATTATTCTTTTAAAGTTCACTTTCAGTTTTCTAGTGAAATTCTATATGTTCGGTTAGAAGCTAAATTACTCAATTCGAAATGTTCACATAATAAACGTAATTATATTTTTTATATTTAATGACTGTGTCGTATAATTATTAAAGTGCAGTGCTATCGGGCAATACGCTCTTCGTTAGATAAGCTAATAACATTATAACTAATCTGTGAAAAATCGAACCAAAGAATTTGTTCAAAAGTGATAAGAAAACAATAGACGTACAGGTGCGCGTTAATATTGTTAGAACAAACAATTACATTATATGTTTCTTTGTTGTTAAACTTAGACTTTGTATGCTGTTAAAGCAAGGTATTTTTTGCAATATTGTAAACTTGACAAAAATTTAAAATTTTGTATTTGTAAATTTAAACTAAAAAAGAATTTAAGTTTTGTTTACATGCAAAATGTGGCCATTTGCATCCAATATGAAAATTGCTCTTCTGCAATTTTTTTGTTTAATACTAACAATTGGAATAAATTGTGAAGAAACTAATCCTTTGGTGAGTAAAAAAATTTTAAAAATTTCTTTCACAATAAATTAATTTGTTAAAAATCCTTTGTTGTAAATTTGTCTATGAGTTTTTTTTTTTGTTTTTGTTTATTATTTTCAATTCGTCATATGTTTTTGACTTTTAACAATATTTGTTGTTATTGTATGAGAGAAAGAGTACAATTTTGCTGAGAGAACACTTGTTTTTAACACTTTTTTATTTTCAAATATTCATGAAGAGTTACAGGTGTCTTCGCAGTAGTTTTAATGCTTGAAAGAATATTATATCTAAAGAGAATATAAATGCCGAGATTTATATGAACAAACACTTAATTTAGAGAAAAAAAATGTGTGTAAAATATTTTTTATTATATAAATATTTTTTAATATTCATAAAAATTTTTTTTTTTATTATAAAAACTTTTCATTCATTTACTTTAATTACAAAATTATCTTGCATATTACTTTTTTTGTATGGATGTTTTTTTTTTTCAAATTACAACAAATTTCCATTCATGTAGCTTGCATGTGTGGGTGCGTGTAAAAATCTAATTAGATTTTAAAATCAATAAATTTGAGTTTAATTTTAAGATTTAAAACAATTTAATCTGTAAAGTGTAATAATGTAGTTTCTTTGTATTTTGAGTTTCAATCAATTCTAGTTTATTTAGTTGTTTATTTAGAAAATATATAGTCTGCATACATGACTGAGTATTTAGAGCTTCATTACTTTGGTCTATATGATATATGACTACGTTATTGAGACAATGGAAACTTTTCACTTTAGTAATTATATGCTTTAAAACTTGTTAGATAATATGAACCCTGTTTTATGTGAAATGTTGCATAATCCCCAACGGGGTTTTTATAGCACATCAGCTCTGTAGGCTGAGCTACTATCTCAACAAAATGTCTATTTTAGAGGAAAGTATTGGTCTATTTTATGAGATGGGTGTTCAATCGTCTGAACTGATTCAAAACACTTATCTATATTGTTTACAGACCTGTTGCCCCTTATAAAGTAGGATGTTCGCGGTGTGTAGCATTACTCATAATAACAGTCGCAACTGAGTTATAATATTAGGACCGTGTGCGAGTTCGAGTAAATTGATATGGAGTAAATTGAGGTGGAGTAAATTGAAATTTCCTAGGGATTTTTTGCACCGGACTTTTGTAAATATTTATTTATTAATGCACTTATTTATTATTTTTGGTTAAAAGTTTTTTTGTTTATATATTTAATAAACATCTTATATAGTGCTCAAGTGCACTAGCTCAAAGAGTTTCAACATAATAATAAAATTTTCACAATGGTAACATCTAATTTACCTAATTTTTATTAAATTTACCCTATACGAAATTCTGGTAAATACCAACATTCGCTGCTATACCGACATAATTTACTATCTCCCTCAATTTACTATCAATTTACTCGATACTCGCACACGGCCTAGATTCATTGAAATGAAAATGTAGGGTTGTATTTGAATTCAACATTGAATTTAATTGAAAGTGTGTTTAGACTACCGTACTTAACACATTTTCGGGTTTATCTCGATAAGCGTGTAGCATTTAGTCACATTTGCCATATAAAATCTACTCAAAATTCATGCAAAAATGTTCGAGATAAGCGTGTACTTATTTTTTAAGTCAATTGCCTTAATAAATGCTTCCTTGAAAAATACCAAATACGTGCCAATTATTGCTGCAAATTTTAATAGAAACAAAGATAAAATGAGGCTGTGAGTCAAGACAAATTTCAAACAAAAATGCAGCAGAGAATGAGTTGATAACTTTTTTTTTAAATCGATTCTACTTAAAATATTTAAAAAAAAAATGAAGCAATAGAAAAAAAAATTGATTTTCGTTTTTTGTTTTCCTTCATTGTTCTCTGAGTTTTAAAAGAAAACACCTGAACTCTTTTTAGCTGAAATTGCTTATATACGTGAGATAAATGTAAAGAGTAAATGTAGGTGTAAACATGCTAAAATGAGATAATTCCACAGATTTAGTCGTGTCAGATCTGATTGATTTATATTGTGCAGTGGCGTCGCTAGGCGTCAGCGATGCCGGCGACCACCGACGGCCTCGCGCCCAAGGGGCCTCGCAAAAAGTTACCGACTGTGGATTCTAAGCACTTAATAAATATTTTAAACAATTTGATTTGATAATGGCATTAACCATATTCGAAATATTTCCGAATGTTTATATAGTAACCAGATTCATGTTCACAGTTCTAGTCAGTATAGCTCCGACGGAAAGAAGCTTTTCAAATTTAAAATTGATTAAGACATACTAGAAAAGTATAATGATCCAAGAGAGACTATCTCCATTCGAAATTCTATAAACTGAAGCGAAAATAGCAGCTGACGCAAATTATGATATAATTTTAAAAAAAATTGAGTGAAGCTAAAAGTAAGAAAATTCATTTATTTTAATTTGTGTTTATTTTAAATTGATTATTTACTTTTACAACTGGGTTATAAAGGGGGCCTCGCAATTCTAATGTCGCCGACGTCCAGAGATGGTCTAGCTCCGCCACTGATATCGTGACACTTTTTTTGAGTTGTATATATGTATATTGAAGATAAGAAAAACAAAACTACATATTTCATTTATTATAATAAATTAAATTAGTTGGCTTAAACATTTTATGTATGTTATTTACGGATTTTAAAGACATATTTTACTTTTTAAATAAAAAACCAATTTTCGTATATTAATATCTCTTGAAAGAACTAAACTTGAAATTATGTATACATAGATACCTAGAGTTAAAAAACCTGGGTATATAAAGATATATGTCAAGACTTACCCAGTCCAAATTGGAAAAAAATTGTACCAATCAGCTTCTTTAACTAAAGTGGAACCAAATCTGTACTACGGTATTGGTGCTGACAAATCACTGTGTATCAGAAATGTATGCAATATGAGTTTGGATGTACTCTAACTACTTCTGTCGAGCTTGTTGATCTACATATGATGAAAGAAATGTCGTTTATTCGTGTGCCAGTGCCCATCATTGCCTAACAGGAGGTTTAAAATTTTCCAAACCCTTTTCCCCCGGTTGTCAAGTTTACGTTGTTGTAAATGTTATGTTGTTGTTGTAACTGTTTGTATAGTCACTTTTTGGGTGTGACGAACGTCACTTGGTCGTCAAACTCAATAGCACCGGAACGGCCGTTCTTGAATGTCAAGTTTATAAGCTTGTCCCTTCACACAACTTTAATGGAAAAAGTCGTAACTTCTCAAGGCAGGGCTGTTCGTGCACTAAATGTTTTAACTTCGACCTTTAAGGTGGTTCTTTAGGTCTGTCCTATAAACGGTGTGTTATTGCTGATAGTACAATATGCATAAAAAATTTACCTTTCTTCAACAGTTTAAAGCTAGGATTGTTACTCGTTTACCGAATAGGATATCTTAGCTACAATATACTATCCAAAATACAGAATTGTCTAATGGCTCAAAAAGCTGTCATAGACTGGGAGGTGATGACAAGTTTTGTTGTGTTCAGTAAGATTTGTTAAATTCGCAGTTTGCTGCCTGATAACATCTGTCGCTGTCTTATATTTATGATTATGTTATAACCGAAATATCGATTTCATATTTGACTACTATTTACTAAAGCAAAATATATATATATATTGCGACTATATAGAAACTGTTTGTATTCTCTAAAAAATATATGATATTAATTTATTCGGATTTATGTTAAAGCAGTTATAGACCGATCAGTATGCATTATAAAGGCACATAGGAACTTATTATATATTGAAATTTAACCTAAATTGATATAAGGAACATCTAAATTTAACAAAAAATAATTTGAGAGTTATAACAGAAATTCTAACAGAACATTATAGGTTGAACTACCACCTAAAAAAATCAGGAATTTGCAGGTTCAAAGAGGAGATGGGTACCGAAAAGTACATGCTAGGAATATATTACTCAACATTCAGATGAACTGGAACCTGGAACTTGGAAGAATAGTACAAATACTGCTATTTACTGAAGAAATAGGAATTATTTCAAGTAGGGATCACAATGCATCCTAATGTCGCGTTTCAATCCCCTCTATAAAATTAAGATAATTAAAGATTAAGACTAAACTATGTTGCAATTTGGAGTTTAAAATAAAAGTCTATTTTATATACTCTTGATCACACCCAATCTCTTCAAATTTAAAATATAAATAACAGTTATAAAAACTTCTTATCTCATACTTTAGGTATTTGCAACGACGGAATGTTTTCTAAAGGAGCCAGTTTATGAACATAAATTTGACTTTAGCAAGTTACATTCAGATTTTGCACACCAAGCCACTGGCATGAATGGTGATGTCTTCGAGTATAATCTCTGTGGTAATATGACGCGTACTTGCGATGGACAGAAAAATATTGCAGCGTGTTTAAAAAGAGGCGACAAGGAGTTTGTGCTCGGTATGTGCCTTTGAGTGAATATATTTCCTTTATGCTATTTTATTTACTTTATTTTAGTATTAATTTTAAAATATTTTCTGTTTTATTTAAATGCAGGCACACAACATCAACTACACTATAGCAATGGCAAAATGTTTTTCAGCTTTCTAAATGGCGCCAAATGTCCCACTGGTGTAGCTGATTTTCAGTTGTATGTTGCCCTTGGCTGCGATTACACTTTAGATGAGATACAATCACATGTGACACAGTATGTAAGTAATTGTTGGTTTTTATAGAAGCTTTTTCCCGGAATGCATTTAAACTAAATGCAGTAAATATAAAACGTCATTCATGCATCCTCTACCATTGTATTTAAAAGTTAATGAATTTTCATGAACTTACAACGCAAATAGATATTTGTTTTTGTATTTAAATTATATTGTTTTTAAATTATTAATTTTACAGGCTAATAATTCCTGTTCCTTCTACATCACCTTGGAGTCGCCTGAAGCTTGCTTACCAGAACCAGATGACGTTAAAGCTAACACGTGTACCTATACCGATACTTCAACTGGTCATGTATATAACTTGATGCCACTCAGTGATATGAATTATATGTAAGAAAACCAGTAAATTAAAATTATTTCCTGATATAATATCTTCTAATTTTCAGTACTACCGATCGAGCTGGATCTGCGTTTGTGATAAATGTCTGTAAACCAGTGCTCTATGGCAGAAACAATATGTGTCCGGCTGGTAGCAGTGTGTGCTTTGTTTCCTTAAAAGCCACTGATTATAAGAAAAAGTAATTTTATCTATAATTGCATAATATTATTAATTAACATTTTTTGTATATTCCAGGTACTTTAATTACGGTACTGTCCAACCAAATCCTACCTTCGAGAATGGCAAATTAGTCATGCGTCTTAAGTCAGATACCATTTGCAATGGTAATGAAACTTATTCTTCGGTTATATATTTTTATTGCGATCCAAATGTTAAGGTATTTCAGTGAAAATTTCTGCCTCCAGCATAAATTCTACAATTTTTTATCTTACATTTTGTTGCACAGAATGCTCATCCGGAATTTATTGGTCTGCATGGTTGCGTAAATGAATTTTCGTTTGTCACGCCATTGGCCTGTAATAATTTGGCGCCTTGTACGACCATAACGCACGGTAATGAAATGTAAGTATATCCAAATAAAAATTTTAAATAAAAATATTTTAAACATTTTCTACTTTTTATTCTTGGTTTTTCGGATTGTAATGAACAGTCTTGATATGAGCAGTTTAAAGGATAAACCGTTCACCTTACAGTTGCAGGATAAGAGTTATACATTCGCTGTGTGTTCCGGTGCAGGGCAGCCGTGCTTGGAAAATGATGGTAAGTTATATTTGCATAAGTGAAAGATATATTAAAACTCTGGTATGTTCAATTTATATATGGTTATTTAAAAAAAATCGTTATATAAATGGGTCAACAAATTTTTCGTTGATATTTTAATACTTGAATTTAAAGGAAAAGGTTAAAAATTAATTCCACTCTTGAAATCCATGTAACTAATTATACAGAATAAAAAGGATTGTATTTTTTTAAAAGCTTAAATATTTTAAAATAGTTGTTGAGGTAAATGAGTTTAAAAATTGTAAATTTTTTTTAAGAATAATATTTAAATAGAACGTAAAATAATTGTGGTGTGCTCCAATATTTAGTTTTAATAACAAAAAATAATGCACTATAGGCCTATTATACTAGAGTAATTACTTCATTACTAAAATAATAATAATCTATTTCTACTTTATGGATGAGTTGATATTCAGAACCAGAATATGTAAAACTACACCGAAGTATTAGATAATTTGTAAAAGTGTTATTGATACTGTAGTCATCCGGTAATTTTAACGCTCCCGTGCTTGGTTATCTTCTTCCGCGAGCGTTGAAGCGTTAATTAGAGGAGTAGATAGCATTTAATAGCTGTATTCGAGTAACTTTTACAAATTTTCCAAAAAGCCGTAAAAGTCTGAGATAATATCTTTCTACAAGTTTCGTACATAGATTTCTATTTAACAAGAAAGATTTATTCGACTAGCTTCATTCATTCTAATAAAATATATTTTTTTTCAATTATTTATTTATTGAATATTTCTAAATGAAATTAACAATAATTAATATCAAATCTTAAAAACTAGGAGAGAATATTTATTGAACAGAGTATACTCTAAGGTATTAAACAAAAAATGGTAGTTTATATTATAAACATATTTGCTACGGGTTTAGCAGCTGTTTCCTACTGGAAACAGCTGGATTTAATGTTTAGCTTTAAACAATACTTCGCAATACGAGTTAGAATAATATCAGATATCTTGAGTATGTTGAAATCCCTTTGAATAATGGAGTTTTCACATACCATGGAGCTTTTACAATCTGTCTGCAGTTTTTTTACATTCGAGTTGCATGTGGTACCCAAAAGCACTACACCTTATATTCAGATTGGTTTGATGATGGTGTTGTATAGAAATACTTTATTTTCGAGGCTGAGGGCAGGTTTGGGATTCATCAGACAATATAGTTGTTACAGCGTTAGTTTAATGTGCGTTATTTTGTTGCCAATGTGTTTTACCCCTGTTAAACTTCTATCAAGATAAATGCCTATGTATTTAAAATCATTGCTTTGAGAAATACTGTTAAAGAATATGTTCCCATAATTCCATGATATGCACTGTAATAATTTAGGATTTTATGAACTAATATGATGCAATTAAAATGGCTTTCTTCGCATATCGTTTTTATATATGTTTTATGTGGAATTCAATATAGTTCCTATTTCGAAACATAATCAGCAACTGAAACTTTCTTATCTGCTGTATAAATACTCACAAAAGATTAAGTTATCCCTCTATTCACCCTATTGGATACGTCGTTTCCTATTTTCGTATCATGCATACATCGACATCTATTGCAACAGCGATAACAGACAGAATCTTCTTCGAGATCACGTAAACCCTACGTTTGGTAACAACTTTTCTGGCCCAAATTAGGTCACAAGATGCCAATCGGGTTATAGTCATGTCAAAAAGTTTTTGCTACGTAAAAGCCCATCTGCTCCTAAAGTGTAGACGAACTGCTTATTCTTTATTATTTGAGCCAAGATAGCTGGGATCCCTATTACATTAAGATAGTAAGATGATATTATATCTTTACGTAGGTTTCCCTCATTTTCTCTTTTCTTTTGTTTTCTCTTTCTCTTTTTCGTTATTTATCTTACCCTTTCAGTTTCTGGTTACCTTGTTTATTGTACAAGTTACAACAAATAATGAATATATATTATATTAATTGCCTGCGATGTCACAGTTTCTGCCGTATGAATAGCACAACAAACTTAAATGACCTATTTGTATTAGTTGTATGACAAATTACAAAGCAGAGTTAAAATGTGTGTTTATACCGGTACTTATAAAAAATGTTAATAATTTATAACTAAATTGACGAATACAATTACTACGCAAATATATATTTTCTTATTTAAAAGCGAGCAAATCTTGTGATAGTCTGACTTTGAACATATATGAAATGAGTCATTAAGTTTATCATTTGCTTTAATTACTTTAATATATAGGTGCATATTTGTTATGTGTTATAAAATAAAAAATTTATATAACATATACATACATATATGGATAGTTTGAAAACGTATTCATTAATTGCAAAAAATAATCTAATGTATACCCAATTAGATAGGTAATTGCATTAAATTGCTTTTTGTTATATATTGTAAATGTAGTGTGTTTATATCGTTTTATTGATTTATTTACAGTTTTTATATAATAAAATTTAATTTAATTTAATTCATTAGTGTACATTTACTTTTACAAGCTTAGAGTTTTAGAGAAATTTTCTTGAGTAATAATAGCGTTTTTAATTATTTTATTCTTTTACAATACTTAAGTTGCATCTAAACATTTCTTTAAATTCTTTTTATATGTGTCAAGTAGTACTGAGCTTTCCGTATGTAAATAAAATCTTTCTACCCAATATTTTTCTTCTGATCTGTTTTTTGAATTATCTACTCATGTCAGGCTTTTTAAAATTTTTTTCTTAATTAAGTGTGATCGAAAAGAGTTTATATTTAGATGTTTAACCGGCTTTATATCGCTTCATGAGATACAACAAAAATTTTTTATCTGCATCTCACGTACTTGCAACTTTTAACCAATGAAGTTTTATTACCTTTAATTTTTATGGAATTAGTATTTAAATTTAATGCAATAATTGTAATAAAAGTTGTATTTATTGATTTGTAAAGTATCAATGAAAACATATATTTATATGCACATTAATCTAGTTATCATAAACTTACCTTATACATAATATAGATCAACTACTTTTATTCGAAGTTTATTTCAACTTCGTATTATTGACACATACGAAATCGGAAATGATGCACACATCCGGTAAATGTGCAAACATCATGTGATATAATCAAAAGCTGTAAAGTTTTTCTGATAATAAAATTCAGAAACACCATAACTTTTTACACATAGTAGTAGAATAAAAAAGTAATATATAGAGTAGTACAACAGTGATTTGTTTATTTTTTTATGATGTTGGCAATTCACAAACTCAGATGAGTTGAAGCGATCTAGGCATGACTTGACTAGCTGTTTATGCAATACAGTTTGGAAAGTGCTTGTGTGATTTTCCAAGTTTCGGTGTAAAGACCACAACAACTTCATTCTTCTGGTTAGGTACATAGGGCATTATCATATTGACCTTTAGTATTCTTAACAGTGACATAATATAAAAATTTGTATCCCTTCGTACGGTCTGCCCAGTATGTAGGATAAAGATAATAGAAAAAGAGCGAGTTAAAGATAAAGATAGAGAAAATCCATGTCAATATTGTAAAATAAGGATAAATGGTGTGATTTGGTAATTGCGGCTAAAGATGATATCTCGAGAGATATGTCGATATATAATATTTAAATCTAATAATACTAAGTGGGCTCTGTAACATACCAAGTGGGTTTTGGTTTCTTTGAATATTTGAGTTATTCTATGAGTATAAAGGTACAATTAAGGTACACTTCAAAAATAAAGTGACTTATTTGTTATAAATAACTGCTACAGATATAGCTATACCCTTACCTAGGTTGGGTCGTCGGATAAGTTCATGTTGTCTTATCACATTTTTATCACTCCAAATTTGGTTCTTTAGATGTATAAATATAAAGAAAGTGTTGATAAAAGTTGGGAAATGGAAAACACTAGTAAAAAGTAAGGAATTTATATTGAAGCTGCTTACAACTTAGTCTGAATTTAGAAGACTAAGTCTGTGTCTGAAGAGGGTGGAAAAAACCATTGGAAGCTGCTTACAACTTAGTCTGAATTTAGAAGACTAAGTCTGAGTCTGGAGAGGGTGAAAAAAAGCATAGAAAATGTTGCATGGTATTATCATCCTTGAAACGAAGTGAATATAAGTTGTTGTCAGCAAATTGAACACGAACAAGATATTTTACGTTGAGTTTAACAAAAGTAGATAGCTTTTATCTGATATGAAAAGTTTAAGTATTATAAAAATATTGTTCTTTCACAATTGACACCAACAATATTAATCCAATTGCTCTCCATTATATACTTTAATGTATTTACCTTCCTTCCTGTATCCACCTCCCTTATTTGAATCGTCCAAAAATTGTCATTTTGATGAAAATCTGAACAATATCTGTATTATCTGTGTTATCTGTATTTCCTATAAAGTAAAAATTTACCTGGTTCTTACCATAATTATATTAATAAGTGGACTCAATTCGTATTTTATATATTAATCCTGTCAGGAATTTTAACTATTTAATTGGTGTTAAAGAGTGCAAATGCTTCTTATAAACTGCGAATATATTTATTTATATCCATAAATGTGTGTTTCTTCTGACAATTTTGTCACAAGTACTCTTGCACAGATTTTGTCATAGTGGTAAATCACATTTTAGTCCTTAATACCTTTATATACATAAGTCATTTTCTTCAACGTATTGGATTTTTATATTTGATCTTGTATTACGTCCACCGAGGCGTATGAAAAACCAATAACTTGGCAATTTTTGTGCAACCAATCGCATTTGCCAATTGCCTTCGCAAAATGATATTACGCTTCATATAAACTGATTTTCCACATTTTTCCTTATACAGTAGATATGTATATGTTTTCCAACTTTATGTATATATGTATATATATAGTATGAGTAGAAACGATATGTGCAAGTTCCAACTTCAATTTATTGGATTTTTCTCTATATTTTATACTGGCAAAAATGTATAAAAACAATAATAAAAACACACTTAAATGTAATTTTTCTACGTTCATATGTAGTAGTGTTTCTCTATAT